TCTTGCTCTGTTACTCTATCTTTCTCTATCTGTTTCACTTCCTCTGTCTCTGTCTCTGTCTCTTGCTCTGTTACTCTGTCTTTCTCTATCTGTTTCACTTCCTCTGTCTCTGTCTCTGTCTCTGGCTCTTGCTCTGTTACTCTGTCTTTCTCTATCTGTTTCACTTCCTCTGTCTTGGTCTGTTACTCTGTCGTTCTCTGTCCCTCCTTCCCCTTCTCTCTTCCTTTGTGTGTGTGTGTGTGTGTGTGAGAGAGAGAGAGAGAGATAGAGAGAGAAGAGAGAGAGAGAGAGAGAGAGAGAGAGAGAGAGAGAGAGAGAGAATGGGACATCGAGAGAGTCAGACAGACAGACAGACAAACAGAGGCAGACAGACAGAAAAAAACAGATGTCAGAAAAACAGAGGCAGACAGACAGACAGACATACACATTCAGATGGGGAAGGAAAGAGCAGAGCAGTGGCTGAAGAGAAGGATGACGGCAGCAAGAATAATGATGATGTTTTATGGGCAAGGGGAGTAAAGATGGCCGGATAGTTTTATGAGAGCTGATGCTCTCTTCTGTTTGTCAAAGGAATTTGAGTGGGTGGTGGTTGGCGGGTGCTCTGGTGGGGTTTGCTTCTTCTTTCCTCTCAAACATCTATCGTCCTTATATCTCCCCTTCTTCTTTTTTTACGTTTGTTAATCTCTTGTAACACCTCTAATCTTCTGGCGCTCACATGACCTTATGCAGTTGCGAGCGCCATAAAACCTCTACTAAAACTAAAGTAAAAGGAATTTGAAACTCGTTTTTTTAAACGCCTTCTCAGACGGCCCGAGAACGACGAGGTTGAAGCGAACAGAAATGGACACACAAATCATAACCAAACACATGTTCCGGGATTCGAAACAGGAAACTGTTGACACTTTCCTGGTCCGAACAACAGTCTTGTTGGCATGGCAGACCAGGCCCCAGCAGGGTTCCCGGGAAGCAAACAGGCCAGGCATTAGATGCGCAATTTGCACCCAGTTGCGGGCTTTGTATGCAAATGTAAACACTTTTAGTAGGCTGTAATGCGCCGGGAGTGAGTAATTATGGTGTTTTTATTGTTCGACCTCCCCCACCCCCACCCCACCACTCCTTGGTTTCTTTCTCTCACTCTTTCCTCTTCCTCTCTTCTTCTCACTTATTTTCTCTCT